ATATTTTGGCGCAGTCAACTTAAAAAAAAGGATTTGACTGCCTTCCCGATCGAATTTTGAGTTGAAATTTGGTATGAACAAACTAGACTTGGTGAGGAACTTGCTCAAAAACTTTCATCAAAAAATTCCACCGGGAAGTGCCCCAAATGACCATGTTCGGACACTGTTCGGACAGAAATTTGCTGGACACGATCACTTGTCTATATTATATTATATATACCGATTAACATTATTTCTCAAAATATACTCGAACTACCTTATTTAATTATTTCTAAATAATCATGTCGTTTTGTGACTGAAACCTTTCAACGGCACGGAGGTAGTACATGATAGAATATTTTATTTGGATTAAAATTTTATAGTCTGATATGAAATGATTTGGTATGGTAGATATCTAGTATTTCTGTATTTTACAACTATCAAAATCTGAACTGGTCTGATTTGAATTGGGACTAAAATAAATCCAAACATCCTTAATAGAAAATTTAAAATAAAAAAAGATCCCCGAAGTTTAATACTACGTATAAACTATCATAAGATGAAATATGACCCCATATGTCTACCAAACTAATAAAAGAAACTACAAATTACTATAAACTTCTTTTTATATAACATTCAACGCATACTTGGTTACATATCACAAACTTCAACCAAAATAATCTTGTTGCTCTCGAGAATGCAACATACAACTATCGATGCATAAAAAGGGGCTGACAGAGGAAGATGCCAATTTTTTCCAATGATTGTCCGAACTCTTATTATTGATCATAATAGCTAACTATTAATGTGCAAGTTGTCTACATAGAGAAGTGAAGAGGAGCCCAACGTTTGACAGTGTAAAAGTAACTCTTGTAAAAATAACATAACTAAAGTAAACTACAAAATAAATTAATAAAAGATGGAGCAAAACTACGGTTAAAGTGGCGAATTTACCCAAAATAGGACTAAAAAGGTTTGGAAATTCCAAAATAGGACTAACATGTTTTTATTTCCAAAATAGGACTAATTACTGCCATGTTTTGGCAGTACCAAACTTCAAACATGGCAGTATTTTCCAAACTTGGCAGTAATTACTTCTATTTTGGGAATAAAAAACATGGCAGTCTTATTGTGGAATTTTCAAACTGTTTTAGTCCTATTTCGGGAACTTTCCCATTAAAGTGCATGGTGTAAAAGTAACTCTTGTAAAAATAACATAACTAAAGTAAACTGCAAAATAAATTAATAAAAGATGGAGCAAAACTACGGTTAAAGTGCATGGTGTAAAAGTAACTCTTGTAAAAATAACATAACTAAAGTAAACTGCAAAATAAATTAATAAAAGATGGAGCAAAATTACGGTTAAAGTGCTGCTCAAAAGTCTGCTCATCCATAAGAATAAGTTTATATTCTAATATTTTCAAAAAAAAAAAGTTTATATTCTAAAGCATATTAGCTATTTGTCAGCAAAAGAGGTTGAAACACAAAAGTATTTTGATGCATAATTTAGATCTTAGAATCATTTTCTTATAGGACAACTTTATCAAATAACACATTTAGAAAATATCAAAGGAGGACTTAGTTTAAGTGTATATATAAGTGTGAATAGTGCTTTCTCACATTATCATGCATTAGAGGTTTGTTATCTATATCAGCCCACTTGTTTTGTGGTTGATTTGTTATAGAAGGGCATACGAAGTACTACCTCCGTTCTCTTTTAATTGCAACGTAGGGCTTTTTTCACTATTCACATATTCTACTTTGACTACATTTTGTTTATTATTGTATTTCGAATTAAATTTTCAAAAAATATTTTTAAATTCCTCTCATAATAAATTTTCAAAATCTGTTTTTTCTAATTGTTTTACTAATAAGGAATGGAAGATATTAACGGTTAAACTTGTGCTTTGGCAAGCGTGAAAAGTGGACTGTTGCAATTAAAAAAGAACGGGAAGAAGTATAAAGTAACCACCAACAGATTTAGAAATACATTATTTTATACTTTTGTTTTTACAATTAAATGTAGAAAGGGTACCATAATAAAACAAAAGAACAAAGACAGTGTATTTGTGCAGCTTCATGAGCTTATGATTTATGAAGTTTACCTATCATACTGTCATACACAATGTAAGGGAAGTGAGTGGTAGACATAAGGGTGAGGGATAAAAAATTAGAGGACGATATACCAAAAATATCAATACTCGTATCATTACCACCTTGAATAAAATTTGGGATAAAACTAAAATGAACCTCAATTTCTGTCTATGGACTGCTGCTTAATTTGATTCAGAGGCGGATAGAAGCAAACCAATCATAACTACTTTATTTACTCAAGGAATATTGAGGCAGTGACTCAAAGTAGTCTCAAACTACTTAAACCAATTAACTGAAATAATATACTTTTAATGATAAAATTAGCAACACTAACAGATACATATGCTAATGAAAAGTCGTTTATATTTGGATGATTATTATCACCACATCGAAGTAGTGTCCTTGCTCTACATCGCTTGGGTCTGCATTCATTAGTATCAACATAACCTGCAATAAAAGAAATGATAGATGAATGTGATCAAGTAGCTTCAACCCAAGTAAAAGAAAGAAGCTTGCTTTGCAGTTAGTTTAGAATTCTTGATTTTTTCAAGCAATAATAATCATAATAATAAGAGTAATAATAATTATAAGAATATAGTTAGAAACAAAAATGAAAACAACTCAATAAAACTGTAAAAAGATGATGCATATCTGAAACAATTAAAAGCACTAAATTAGCGGCTGACAAGGATATACATTTGTTAATACATTTGTAAGGGTTGAGACCGAGACAAAAGAAGATTGTAAAATAAACTAACTTGAAAGTTTTGAGCAGCAAATATACATTTGTTAATATACTAACTTGAAAGAGGAAATGACGAAACCACGGGAGTTTCGAACAGGCCATGCAAAAAGACGGGAGTTCCGATTAGGGTACGAAAATGCCGGATTCGGAAGGCACCATTCCGAATGAAGTGGGGCAGAGATGAAAGGCTATGATTTGGAACTGCATATTCCGAATAGAAGGTCTGGATTTTTTTAAAAAAAAATAATACTTCAAATGCCTCATATCCTATTCGGAAACCTGATATCCGAATGGCTAAAAAGCAGATTAAAAAAAACATGCCCCACTATCCGAATGCCTCATATCCTAATTATTACACCACTTACTAAAATAAATGGACTTAATCTAGAGTAATTTGTCCACTTAGTCAAATGATTAATTTTTTGCAATTGCCTAGATAGAATTGTCCTTGATTAGTTTAAAGTATTTTACTTAAGAAGTGATTTTAATTTGTATTTTTGATACGTTACACTTAATAGTATTAATAATTAAGTTAGAGTTATTTTAGAGTTACTTACTTAATAAGTTTAAAGTAGTTTACTTAATAAGTAGTACCCAAATTTGCCTATAATTAGTTTAGAAGAATTTAGCTAATAAGTAGTGCCTAAAATTGCCTATAATTAGTTTAGTGTAATTTACTTCAGACGTGATTTTAATTTTTAATTTTAAATAAGTTGCACTTGACAAGTTATTTTAATACTCTACACTTAATAAGTTATTTAAATAAGTTACACTTAATAACTAATTTGTGATTCTGCACATTTCTCTCTCTTCTGCACAAATTTCAACCACACAGTTTTTACTATTTTTATTTCTCACCTACTTTGCACTTGGCAAAGTCCACCGGGACGGAGGTAGTATATGATAATGACATAACAACATTATTAATACTAAATAATGGATTTGCCTACCGAGCCCAGTACACACTTTATCAGTATCTATAAATGGCCAAAATAGGTACTAGTTTTAGGGTATCCCACTATCTCGATCAGTATCACTAATATGGTAGGTATGTATAATGTATTAGTTGTGTATCTTTTTAATTAAAGAATTGCAACTAATAATTTTATGTATTAGTATGTGTGTGTGTATTAATTTGTATTTTTTTATTTGAAGTATTATAACTAATCACTATATGTAATAGTGTGTGTATACTAATAAAATTTTTTAAACGGATCCGGGTCCTTAACTGGTTGGATCATATGTACCATATTCGACCCATTTATGAAAATGCTAACGAGTCCAACTTATTTATTTTTTGAAAGGGGGTCCAATTTATTTATTAATTAAAAATAATTACATATCAACTTAATTTATATGGTTAAATTAAACATACAAATACCACTTGGAATTCCATGATCCGAATTGGGTAACAAAGAATTAAAAAAAAAAGTATGATTTGGAATAGCATCTTCCGAATTGGAACAAAAAATTAAAAAACTTTGATTTGGAACCTGTTTTTCCGAATTGGGGTGGGGTAAACCTAATGTGCTCGAAACCAGCTAATCTATTTGGTTTTTCCCGTGTTTTTAGAAACCCTATATTTTCTCCCGTGTTTTTGGCGTGAATGTTGAGTTTTCCCGTGTTTTGGGAAAACACCCCCCTTTCAACGTTGTTTGATTACTTACTATGGTTGAAATGGTTTTCTTTTAGTATTGCATACCATTTAGATCGTGAAGTTAAAGAACTAGATTTAGCTTAAAGAATGCCGCTAACCTAATAAAATTGCTGATAAAGGGTTCTCACTACGCCAAAACTGCACATTTTTGACACTTAAACATTTTCAAAATTGACTCATAGAAACAGTCATTTAGTTTTTGACTATATAAAGGTGTCGAAATGCTCTTACTTACTTATTTGGACTATCGTATAGGTACATCTCTATTTTTGACGGGCCAAATCCAACTAGAGCCCATATTTACCTTCCATCTCTGCGCCCTAACATTTAATCAAAATCAAACTCAAAATTTGAGAATGAAGTATAAGTTTCGCTCCAACCATCTCTGCCCGCCAAACGAAAAGCAAAGTCCCGCTCACAGTAATTTTTCATTCTATAAACCTAAATTTATGAGCTGCTGCTATACATCAGTTCACCCTATTTTTTTTTGGTGCGACAGAGAGAAGACGAGAACGAGAGCGGAGTACAACTGATCCAGGTCTAAAAGCTTTAATGTCCCTTTTTTCGCTCGTTTCTTCTTATTGTTTGGATTTAATAATTGTTGAAAGGTCATCAAAGTTTACTTCTATATCTGCAAAATCAACTTGTTTATTATAGGGGGTATGCAACTATGTTTATGCCCTCTAACTGTTTGATAAAAATACCAATAGTCTTGTGAAGATGTAGTGTGATAAATTATATTATCCTCTGCTATTGAAGTGTCTAACCGATTCTGAAAAAGTCTTAGAACAAAAGTGTAGCTAGAGAAAGGCTTATACTTTGTAAAGTTCATTTCGTTCATATATTAGCCTCTTAGCAGTTTGGGAGTCTGGGTTTATTTATTAATAATCCTACATTGATAGATCATAGATCATTCTCGTTTTTAACCAATTGCTAGATACGGGACATGAACTGCTAGTTCATAGTAGATTTTACTTTGTATTAAATATTAGTTCATTATCTTATAATGTCCATCACTTCATTGTGGTGTTCACAATGCATTTCTTATGTCCATGAAAGACATTCCAACTAATCTGTGGATGTTTGTTTGTCCAGTTCTTTCCAAATATAGCAGTTCTGAGGCACTAAATCATATTCTCGAAGTTCTTCCTCAAGGTCTGCACACTCAAACTCTCTTTTTATTCTAAAAACTTTGTTTTTTATATCTCTGATAGACTTGAATGTAGTTTGTTCAGTGTTAGATAGTTATGTTTCAGATTATGGGTTCTGTTCCTTTAGGCATAAGTGGGTAGTGGTGTCTGCTTGCACGCAGCACATGGTTGAGTTCATTTATGAACAATCTTATTGTGTAAAGGTGAAAAAGAAAAAGAGCATCATGGAACACGCAGAAGTGCATCAACTGTTAGTTTAATGTGCACTTTTATTTAAATGAACTTTTTTGTATTAAAATGTGCTCTTTGAAGTTCCATGGATTAGAGCAATTCCATCCTTCCATCTATTCTTATAACTCCCACTCCCACATTAATTCTTTTCAACCAAGGGCTATATGTTTGGACATTTAATTGGTTTCATTTAACGTAAAACTTTTCATTTAGTGAACAAAGATTGTGTGTCAACATGTTGGTATTGGCTTTTGGATTAGTTAAATCATGTGTAATATACTTTTTGGCACATAAATCTACTATTTTTTTATATAAAGATGTGTAGAATAAACGCAACAATAAAAATTGATAAATGTCCAAATCCAGTTTTGGGACGCAGAAGAATGGGAAAATTGCATCAAAGGAATCAATCTTTGAGTTATAAGTTTGATGGTAAGGGGTGAGCTTAATTCTTGAATCTGATACTTTGGCTGCGAGCAGCATTAATGATAGTAGCTTCTCCACCATAAGGACCTATAAACATCATGTAAATATTATTTCAAGTACAATATATGTATTTAGGTTTAGTTGTTTATTAACATTGAGTAGACATTGCTTCCTCATTTCATTCATTGTGCTAACTGTTTTCTTTCAAACATTTTTATCCCAAAAATCTTATTATGTTGTGCTTTGTATAGTTTTAAAATGTCAGATGATGAAAACCAGTCCATGGGTGATGACTTTCTTGAAGACCAAACTAGTGATGCACATTCTAGTGGGAGTGATAGAAGCACATATCACGAGTCAAGTAATCATTTCTTTACACGATGGCTCCATTTAATAGTTATACATTAAGTCATTAATTATTGAAAACATGGATTATTTTGTCAGGTACAAAAAAGGATGTCATGTTCAATGAATATGGGCAGCCTGTAGGTCTTGGATCAGAGAAGTTTTCAACTGCAGTTGGAAAAATTGCAAAGGCACATTGTCCACCTGCAATCAAATCATGGAAGAATGTCAGTTCTACTATCAAGAATACCATATGGAACAATGTTACTGTAAGTAGATTGGTTGAAGTATTTTTTGTATTTCTGAACTTCTATAACATATCTTCTCTCATTAATATTTCAGTATGAGTATTCTGTGCCAGAAGTGTATAGGAAAAAAGTGCTAAGAAAAGCAAACATTGCTTGGAAAAATTGGAAATCATCACTTCGTAAGAAGTATGATAAACATAAAACGGATGTCGACCGGAAAAAAAACAGACCAAGAGGTATGAAAAAAGAAGACTGGGAAGAGTTCATTGTGTTCTGCTCCACGAAAGCAGACAAGGGTCGGCGTGAAAAGGGCAGAAAAGCAAGGGGATGCGCTAAGAGACTACATTCATCGGGTAGGACTGGCTGTGCAAGGATAGCTCACAAAATGGTAACTAATATACTTCTCATAAATTCAAAATTGTTTTGACTCAGTTATATTGTGCCATGGAATTTGGCACGTCCTTTTATATTGTTGTGTGTTTATAGAAAGAGGAAAGTCTTACTGGGGACATCAATAGAACTGAATTGTATTTGATCACACATGTTAGAAAGGTTGGTTCTACCTCCATGAGCACGAGTGAAGGCTTGGTAAGTGTAGTACTTGTATAAAACTGATAATGAAAGTTCATTTCGCTAGGCTCGTTGAGTGAGTAAATCTTGGTGATGACTTATAGGATCAAATAAGAAAGCTTGTAGCTGATGATCCATATTTGGGACACAAAGATCTGGATCATGATGCTGTTGCGATGGTTTGTGTTATATTATTGTATATAGTATTAAAATCTTGTATTCCTCTAATGATAATGTACATAAATGAAAGATGCATTTCTGTTTTAGGTATGTGGGCCTGATGGAAAGGGTTATGTACGTGGTATGGGTGGAGGTGTTACAAAGACTGAGATACGTGCTTCGGGTCCTTCTAGAGAAATTGCTCGCAAAGAAAAGAAACAACATGAAGTGATTAACAATGAAATAATAATACTTAGAGAAGAAGTAGCTACATTGAAGCAACTGGTCCAAAGTAATGCAACAAAACCTCCACAATCACAAGAGTTTCGTGATACTTCTCAGGTAAACTTATTGTTTTGTTCTTGGTTGCTCATGCTATTTTACAAGCTTTTAGCTTTTAGGTTTGTTTCTTTGTTCTCTGAACCTAAGAATAGTGAATCTGAAAAGGAGTTGAATTTGAACATGACTGTAAACTTCTTGGATTTTTACAGAAGATGTTTTTGTTATTCATACACTTTCATCCTCCCTTTTCTAATAAAACTTTTCACTTTAAAAACTAAAACATTTAAATAGAGACTTTAAGCGTAACAAGTACAAAAATTGAGTAGAACATGGCTCGAATTCTTAAAGATGAAATACTAATTTTATTTAAACTGTAGAGGTCATAACATTTCTAACACAATTTAGATAGTGTTAGGTTGGTACGGAAGAAAAGAAGTTGTGGAATGAACAAAGAAATAAAACGAAAGGTTAAAAATGATGTGTGGTTGAACTAAAATAAAATAGAAATATTAAATTTAATAAAAATGTTGAAATGGAGGACTATGAAGATGCAAATGACAGCAATGGCAGCAATTCTACATCCATTTCTGTCGTGTTCCATCTCCCCAAGGCTTCCGGTTCCAAGTCAACAAGCTTCCCTTAAAAGTCATCTCATTCGAAGCTCCGCAGTTTCCAAGAAACACATCTCCTTCAAATAAAGTTCAAGCTACAAAGCTTCCCGTCGGGGTGGATTACCCAAAGGAACAACCAAAACTTAAGCCCCCATTTCTGGGTTTTACAAGTACAGCTGAAATATACAACTCCAAAGCTTGTATGTTGGGCTGGTTGGAACTTTCATTTTAGAACTGATATTGAATAAGGGGATACTTCAGGCTACTGGGGTTGATGTAAAAGCACGCTGTTTTTATTGGTTCCATTAAAAAATGTTTAAATCTGAAAACACTACTACTACTACTGTCATCTGACCTTTCTTTAAAAAAAAATAGAAATGTTGAAATACAAATTAGAAGTAGAAATAGAAATGAATTATTTATAGTAAAACTAGTCTTTTTGCTATGCACCATTTCCACATGTTGGGGTTTAATTCACTCCCTCTACTCGAGTAATTTTGTATGTATCATTTATGTAATTATGTAGCAAGTTCTTTTTTTTTTCATTGATGCCTATGATTTGTTGTTCTATCTGTTCTAGCTCATTCAGTAGAGCAGCATTATATGGTAAACATAATTGCAAGGCTTTCCTTTGAGTAGAGTTTTTGGGTAGAGTTATATTGCTGATCATTCTAAATCTTTTTCAGAGTTATAATTGCACTGATAATTGCTTACACTAGTAGAAAAAAGGCTTATAGTGACACTATTTTTGTGTCACAGAAAGTTTCAGTGACACAGATCATTTGTCGCAGAAGGTGGGAAATGGTGACACTAAGTTTAGTGTCACGGGTGAAATGTCAGCAAATTCTGACACTTAAGTATCATTAGATATTTTGACACACATGTATCACAATTACTTATGATACTGTAACGAAACAAAAAATCATGATACAATGGTATCATATAAAAAAATGATGTTAAGACATCAATAGAATCTGTAACACCATAGTATCATTATATTTTATAAAAGATAAATATATCATTTATACAAACCATTCGAGGCACACAAGAGTAAATACACAAAACATCATAATATAATATAAAAATTGTAGAGTTTTCATTCACACAAAAAACTCATCTACAAGTCGCAATATATATCCTTGCAATTTTCTTGCAAACTTATCGAACTATAACACGTACATGTTCGACCAAAATACAAAACCATGATAATACAATCGATCACTTGTAGCTGTTCTAAGTGCCTTAGTAGCAAAATTCATGGCTTGCTACAAACTTCTAGCAATCGACCCCATTGCAAACTTCTCCAACCAAAATCATGTAGTTCTCTACAAACAAACAATATAAACAAAATCAAGAACATTAATCAATGAAGGGATTGAACCGCTATAGACAACCTAGTTCGCTAACGACAACCTGGGCTATAATTCTACAAACACATCCTTGTAAACAACAAACTCACTAAATATAAACTCACGCTTCTAGCAACGTGGACACATGAAAATCATTCTACACAAATTTGTAAAATGTTTTCTTCTGAATACCCACTCCCTACCCATAAATTTAATGACAAAAAAATCAGATTTTAATTATTTATATATTACAACAATAAAAGAGAAAACAATAAAAAACATCTTCTTCAACAAACTAACAGTAGAAATGACATCTTTCATGTACTTCATCCCAAAAATGATAGGGACACAGTCCAAAATCCAAGCTATGTCAACAAAAACGAGACCACTAAGCGAAGCCAAAGGTATCTAATAGGCTACTACACTGTCATGTGAAATCAATTATGCATAATTCAAAGAGTAAGAAGGATTACTCTTCGGATGGCGAGCCTACTCAGGTAAGGGAGTCTATAGATACTTGGATTGATGATCTTCTTAGCCTTAACAGAAAAGTTGAAGCTATATGCAATAGAAGGCTGCAAGCCTGCAATGAAGGAGGGAATTAATAATGATGTATTAAATGTCCCAGCTCTATCATCAATGCAAATCATTAAGGTTAATAATTCTGATACTAAAGAAAAGGAATCTACTTCTGGAGAGGGCATATCTGTTGAGGTTGTAATGGCAGAGGAAATCCCGGGCAGAAAAACATTAGATATCCCAGTGGACAATGGTCAAGGCTGCCAGTTTACTTGGACAGGTATGAGACGCAATGGAAGAGTGTGGAGGAGATTTAATCACTTGGACACTTGGACAGGTTTGAAAATCATTCCTCCTTACTCCGCTGCTATACTTAAGTTGTTTTCTCTTTTTACTGTCAGGCACACACCACTCGCTTTCATATCTCTTCTCTTTCTTTGATCATAGTGAGTGAAAATTGATCAAAATTTCCATACAAGAAGTTAACATAAAACAACACATGCAGGAGTAAATTAGATACTCCGTATATAAAGAGGTAAAACAAAACTAACAAAATGCTGCTCAAACAATAGTTTTTCTCAAAGTATTAGCATTACCATGAGAAAAAAAAACGAAGAGAGAAGAATTCATACAGAAACGAATAGCTCCAGACCAATACAAACAACTATAGAACTGAACAAACAAAAAAGCAACCCCCCTTATCTGCAATCAAAGTTAAAACAAGATAAGAAACTATGTAAGAATTAAATACAGAAACAGTTATGATTATTCTGGCCTGCACTATAATGAGCTGGACTTCAACTTTTTCATCTTTCTATTATGTGATTATTATATCATCATACTTAGGTGATAATGTTTATCTCTGTAGCTAGTAGCTACTAAAATTGATTCAAACTGACATCAAAGCTGGATTCTTCAAGTTGGTAGGAGTGTCAATAGCAAAAGTATTGGCTATGATTTCAAAAAACAGAAGAGTTCTCTAGGGAAATACACTAGAAAAATAATTCCCCTTCACTTCAACCCTAAGAATATATACTAGCTAGGTCGGGCTAGCCATTTGTAGCAGGCTTCCATAGTTACATAGCACGAATTTACAATGATTGGATTTTACTCCATAAAGTAAGACAATGAGTTACATGTAAAATGTCCAACGATTCTCACGAATCAAACATTCACAAATTGCAAAGAGGAAACTCAAATTCCTTTTACTGAACAAAAATGAGAACAAAAGTTATAAGATTCTTTCTAAGATGCAAGAAGAAAGATGTACCTCTTCTTATTACCTGCAAAGAATCAAGTTATCAGGGGCCCAAGATATTTACACACACAACCTGTTTGATAATGAAGAGCCTAGTAGTTGTCCAAAAGCAAAATAAAGGCTCTAGTCCGTTAGTATATGCAGAATAGACATACATAGATCGATAATAAAATATGCATGATAATTAAAAGCAGCCCGAAACTACTCCCAAATCCAAATTGATTGAAAAATAAACACTCAAATTGATTGAACTTGCCAGACATCTTGGACCACATTATATTCTTCCAGTCACTGCTCTACACTTGGGAGCACGCAGCTACATGAAATGCATATTTGTCCTCCCTTTGTTTTCCAAAAGCAAAATACATATAGGCATGATTCTCAAGATAAGCTAATAATGTTATAATCAATAATATGAAATAGAAGTATTTACCAAGGATAAAGTTTTGAATGGTCGCCTGAAGTTGAGACCTGAAAGCAGATTTGTCCTCCGCTCACAAGAATTCTGATTACACTGATCATATTTTTTTACTCATGTCCTAAGATAAAACCTGTGTGGGATCTTTTTATTGATATCTTTGACATACCAAAAACCACAATTAATCATAATATAAGACAAGTTTTTATCTCCTGGTGGATTGAAGCTAGATCCAATTCTATTTTGGATACTGTTAAACATAATCTACCAGGAATTAGAAGCTGGCAGATTTGGAAGGTATATTCAAGCCTGGTCCGGGGCTCAACAAACACCATTCCATCGACTTATACTATAATCCTTCCGACTAAATGGTACACTCAACACTGGTCATCTAATTTGAAGAAGGTTTAATGAAATTCTGAGTACGAGCTATTACTTTCTGAGAATCTAATTTCTGATTCTTTCCGGAAAACTCATATATATCAAAGTGAAAATGATTACCTGGACACGGCCTTCTACTACTCTTAAGCTCAACGTGGATGCATTCTATACACCTGGTAAATCTTCTGGAGGCGCGGTGATGCAAGACAGAGAGGGCCACTTGATCTATGGACTGAGCTATCATCTTCAAGCCGACTCTCCCTTAGATGCTGAGATTAAAGCACTCTATTTTGCTCTGGATTGGGCGGTTGAGCGTTAGGGTTTGGATTCGAAGTGAATGATTTAGAGGAGGGTAGTGTTAGGGTTTGGATTCGATGCTGAGGAGTTCGTCGAAGGTGGCCGGCTGAAGGTAATGGTGTCTGGTACGAATGGATCGATGAGCTAGCTAGCTATGGTATTGGTACCCGATGGGGTTTGGAATTTTAGGGCGGGATATGTGGTTCCAATGGGTTAGACAGATCTATTTTTAAGGAGAAATGAAATGTTTTGGGGGAAATAAAAATTGTGGAGGAGAATTTATGTTTAGGAGGAAAGAATAGTGTCCAAAAAAATAAATAAAAAAAGTTAAATTTATATTTTAGTATCACTAGTATTTGTTGATGTCATAGTATCACATATTAATGACACTTATATGTCAGAAACAAGTTTAGTCGTATACCAGTGACACTTATAAAAAAAGTGTCACAAAAAAAGTGTCACTGTAAGACAGTTTTCTACTAGTGTTAGCAACTAGTGTTTTTAATGATTACATTTCACTATTCCAGGGAGGTGAATCTGACCTCACTACAAGGACATGTTTTTTGAAAAACTTAAGGAGAAAAGTTATTGCTTATGGACGCTTAAATACGGAAGCTCCACCAAATAAGGAAGCTTAATTATAGTATCATTATTGATGAGATCTTTGATGATAGTGAGTATCTATATGACAAGGATGAGAAGTTTGAAGACATATTGGTTGGAGAACTCATCAATTGGCCAAAAGCAAATGTTCATTTCACTAGGATCAATTAATGTTCAGTGCTACTTTTGTTCTTCGTTTTTGGTTTGCTTATTTACATTTCAGATTCAGACTAGCAACTTGAATATTAGTTAAAAGGTCAATTTGGACCATGTGTATGTGTTAATGGCACTTGATGATCAAACCATTCCAAACTGTACTCAATTTTAATTGAGTTGTTTTGACTTTTTTAAGATGAATGAAATTGCCACTTTGTTTTATTCTCTTACAATTTATTTTAATTGTTGCTATGATTGGTGTGCATAATAAAATAAAAATCAAAATATATGTTGGTACAACAAAACTGTATAATAATATACACTAACTAATCTCGACTTATATTTCTTGTCGTTAAATTATTGACAGTTCAAAGGAGTAGTTTTTCAGAATCTGACATCAACAAGTGAAGTGAGTCGAATAAATTTTTGACTCTTTTTTTTCGACACCCACTTCGACGGATCAAAACTGTCGAAAATAACTTTTTTTTGACTGTTTTAGTCTGTTGAAAAAGGGCATATTTGGCGTAGTGTCTTTATGCCTTGATCTGCTTGTGTTAGAATAGACATTTGGCCTAGGAGTCCATCAATTTATGGTATCACCGTAACACATGTTTTTCTGACATATATACTACCTCCATTTCATATTATCGGTCCCATTTTAGATTACTTAGACTTTACTAGAGATAAAGTTAATTCTTCCAACATAATATTCAAATTAAATTAGTTTCAGTTAATAAACTTTTGAGTTATGGATGAGCAGACTTTTGAGCATTTATCGGTCCCATTTTAATTAACTAACTTAAAATATACTAACTTGAAAGGGTTTATAACTTTATATTCCAACATATCAACATAATATTACATTTGTTAAAGTAAAAAAACATTTGGTTCAGTGAGAAATGCCTAAAGGAAAGACATGAAAGAGTGTTGATGTGAATCAATTATCAAAAAGAAAAAGTTGAGAAAGCAAAGAGTGTAAATCGATTCTTCTGGACAGTTTATAAACAGATGTTAAATCCGCTAATGTAGTGTTTCTAACTAAAGCTAATGCGTCTGAGATATAGCCACCTGGCAAGCTTCCTCTAAAATGGTGTAGGCATGATCATTTAAGGAGGAAAAACACTCCTCACATTGTATGAAATGGGACTGATAATATGAAATGGAGTGAAGGCACTCCTTCACATTGTAAGAAGATTAGAATTAACTTTAAATCTAGTTCTTTAACTTCACGATCTAAATGGTATGCAATACTAAAAGAAAACCATTTCATCCATTGTAAGTAATCAAATATCGGTTGGCTTATGTTGAGCGGATAAAGCAAATCTATATTCACAATAAGCCCATAAGCAGCAAGAACGGTAAAACAAAACCAACGCGTTCAGAAAATTAAAAGCGAATAAACTAAAACAATGATCCGATTCCACCTCCTTTGCTACGTACACTTGACTACGCACGGGCATTGACCATGGTGCATGCGGACCTTGTGGGGGTGATGCTTCATTCCGGAAACGACCTGCTTGTCGGCCCTTTAAGACGTGAAGCAAAGATATCGGTTGGAAAGACTTGCAGTGGCTGAAGGAAAGAGATCGGTGGAAAAGAAATGTAAAGAGGTGCGCGATAAGCCTAGACGGCAAGAAATAGGTGAAGTAGCGCAGTGAACCGTGGAGATGGTTTCTAAATGAACGATCAAGATTGATTTGTATCGCTATTAAGTATAAGGATAAGGATTGATATATTTATTGAGAAGAAAACACTGGTTGTATCTGTCGCTAATAGGGACGGTTTATTTCCGTCAGAACCCCGTGGTTGTTTAAAAAAACCGTAGCAAATATCGGTCGGCAACTTTTCCAAACACTATTTCGACGGAATTTTTCCGTAGCAATTCCGTTGCCGATTTTGTTTCTAACGGAAAAATATCATTTTCCCGTTCCTATTTGCGTCGCTGATTCAATGTTTTTTTGTAGTGGCGGTGGAAAACGGCGATTTCAAACAGTGGCTAGTTGTTGAAAAATGTGTTTATAAACATGTTATATATAGTGAATCTAATACAAAGTACTACCTCCGTTCCAAATTGATTTGCAAATTTGACTTTTTTTTGTCAAACAGTTTCATTTTGTTTGCTTAATTAGGATGTCAATTTTTAATTATAATCTAATTTAAAATTTACAACTTTGAAGAGATTTTAATGTAGTTTCTGAATTTATAAACTTTAATTATTAAAAATTAAATTATTATCGATACGGAGCATTGACTTTTATTATGGGTTGACCTAAAAATGTTGACTTTGCAAAACAATTTGGGACGGAGGGAGTAGTAAAAAGCAACGACACCATTTTATATTTGCACCTTTATACATTTTAAAACTGTATATATTGATTGAATAAAAAATAAAAATTATGTTCTATCTTGTACGAAGTATAATTGATTTTGGACATTTATTTTTTCTTCATATACCATTACTATAAAATACTTCTTGTCACGCCCCATACCTTTTAGAACACTAGAAACAACAAAATATTCAGTGCCTAAGAGCCATTTGGTGGACCCTTTTTTTGTTCAGCAACCTTATCAGCCAAATTTTTCAACACCAACTTGATTTTGCGAGATGAATTATGCAATAATCAAAATAAACAAGGTTGAAGTTAATTTTCTTGTTTAATTAGCTGATAGAAGTTACTATTGAGGACTATATATTTTAGTTTTTTTTTTCATATAATATTTTATTTATTCTATTCTAAAATATTTTAGTAATCTAATCACTTTAATTTAGTTCGAGTTTTATATTTCAAGAGCTAACTAATTCAGTCACCAATCTTGCCAAACGATTCTATGTATTTTGGGATGCCTTAATTGAGCACGCCAACTAGTCTCAAACGAATATAAATTTAACTTTAAGAGCATATATAAGTTTTTCCCATTTATTAAGTCTGTTTATTTCAAGGGTGTACAAAATATGACACGGATATATACGTTACCAACCAAAAATGTATACATTTTGTTATTTGTACCCGTTTTTGAAATACAAAACGAATGGATTAATATGGAGATATTACCCAAAATAGGACTAAAAAGGTTTGAAAATTCCAAAATAGGACTGTCATGTTTTTATTCCCAAAATAGGTCTAATTATTGTCATGTTTTGGCAGTGTCAGACTTTAAATATGACAGTATTTTCCAAACTTGACAGTAAATAGTCTTATTTTGGGAATAAAAACATGACAGTCCTATTTTGAAATTTTCAAACTTTTTTAGTCCTATTTTGGGAACTTTCCCATTAATATGTTATGGCGTTTGATTATTGCCCTCATTAAGGTAAACCGCGTCGCGAGATATATAGGGTGGACTGGCACTCAACAAACGTTACAGATTTCAAAGAAAAAGTTTTGCATTCACATTTCTTCTTGGGTCATCAAAGTTCACCCGGACTCGCTGGAATTCAATGCTTCCCCGCACGTTTCCCAAATTTGAAATGTTGTCGCCCTATTCGTGATGCATGTAGTGTATGAAAAAGGATATGTCAATACGCATATAGGGCACTGGGCACGGCGAATACGATAAACTTGAAAATATACAGAGTAAGATACATGTGGATGGTAACTCAGTTAGTTGAGTGGTGGGAAAGTTTAAACATTGATCAAGGATCAAAAGCCGCAGCAGCCGTGTGAAGATTACACCTCCTGTGTGCTGAATTGAAACTGTAGTGCGCTCGGGTACAAGATTTACGTTACCATTATTGGGCCGATTGAGTCACCGTGACTTACAATCTCCCAAATGTCTTTTCTGATTAGGAAGTGGGGTCCTTGGGGTTGTAATTTCAACCTTTTGGAACATTGAAAATATACTAGTATAAGTCTATAAGATAATATATGGTGCATATTTGCGCATACTAAAACTATGGTGGTTGATTTGTAACAAAAAATACAAAATACATTCATCCCAATGCTTCGTAAATAAATGAGTAGAGTACCAAAATAAATACCAAATGCTTATAATCACTGTAAAGATTTAATATTTTTACTTATATAAGTTGAATAATATAGACTCGATCGATATCTTGCTATATTCTTTTGATCATATTCTTTAACAAGACATATTACATATTTGTCTCATCATTAAAAAGAAGGAAAAATTGAAAATAATAATCCCAACTATTGCCGGTCCGCTAACAATAATCCCAACTATTGATTATTTTTGTATAATCCCAACTATATGGACCATCCGCCAATAATGGTCCATGACCAAATATTACCTTCTATAAAAGTGAATTTTAAATAGAAATTAAGCGTAAAAATTAAAAGTTGGGATTATTTATAGAGATTATTTGTTATATCTCTTCTCATCCACTTTAGAAAGTACATGAATTTATTTACAGGGACTGTTATTGGCGGAAGGACCCTAAAGTTGGGATTATTCTGAAATAATGGATAGTTGGGATTATTATAAGCGGACCGCCAATAGTTGGGATTATTACAATCAATTTTTCCTAAAAAGAATGGCATATTCAATTATCCCTTTCTTTTAAATTTACTTTAGAGTTTTTAAATATCTTCTCATGTAAGTGTACATATTGTTTTAAGTACGCGTATCAGTACAAAAATACACAAATTGAAATTTTATTATTTTTAAAAAAAGTAATGCTTTCATATAATTATTATGCATAGTCCATTCATATAACATACGGACGTACCACGGAGTATGTATTAGTGAGTACTGATATCAATGCAACTATGTGTATACGACACAATGGCAAAATATTGGTGGTGCATCATAGCTCATATCCACAAGGCACACCCCCATCCCGTTATTAATTGGCGACAGAACTGTTAATTAGGGTTTAATGTATAAATCCATCATGAAATATTAATTATATGCATTAGTTACGTTTCACATGATTTAAAATGCATTTAATCCCTATAGCAACAAATTTAACCGTTTGAATATCATGTGACTTAAAGGCCGTTTGACAACATTGTTTTTCGGTTTATCAGGCTTATCAGTTAACTTTTGCTTTCGCGCGCCGAACTGTGTAATAAGCAGAAAAAGTAAGGTTGAAATTACTTTTCTGACTGTATTGGCTGAAGTTACTGTAGATGGTCATTTTATCTATTTTTACATATAATTTTTTCTTTATTTTATTAATAAAATATATTTTATAAATAATGTTTTCTTAAATCAACAGAATCAACAATTGCAGCCACTTCAGCCAGAACTTCATAAATTTCAGTAGAATCGGCCAAAACAGCCGATTTTCGTGCTACCAAACAAACGGTCTCTTAATATTATTATTAGTAAATAGTACGAATGAATATCAATTTGTCAATGTCTAAACTATACCAAAAATTAATCACTTTTATTTGACAATTGTCTTTTTTCTTCATGGGGCGCACAATTAGAATAACATCGTGAATCTGATGTTTATTTTAAATTAAAATTTGATACATTGAATACCTATTAACACTACAAAAAAACGACATTAACAAGGATTGGACTTGGCAAGGATAATAACATATTTTTGGTATAACCTCATGCCAAGTAGTTGGCAACAAAACGTTATTGACACGTAATTTGATACGAATTTGACATATGTATGTCAAATTCGTGTCAAATATCCTATGAATTTTAAGTGTCAAAGATCCAGCCATTACAAGTTCATATAGTATATCCGATAGTATATCGGAAAAGATCCTGTCCATCCGGAGGGACAGGATCCTCCGGCCGCCGCCATTTGGGGCGGTTTCCGGTGGAGTTTTTTGATGAAATTTTTATGAAATGTTCCTCATCAAGTCTAGTTTATCTACAAAAAACTTCAGCTAAAAATTCCATCAGAAAGGCAGTCAAATAATTTTTTGAAACATAAATGCGTTTTATATGTTTAATTTGGCGCAGTTATCTTCAAAAAATTATTTGACTGCCTTCCTGATCGAATTTTTAGCTGAATTTTTTTGTGGATAAACTAGACTTGATGAGGAACATTCCATAAAAATTTCATAAAAAAACTCCACCGGAAACCGTTACAAACGGTGGCGGCCGGACGGAAGATCATGTCCCTCTGACTGGACAGGATCATTCCTCGTATATATATACTTGTGTTTTAACTAAGGGTTAAAACACAATAAATCCCCTCCCCCAATTACAATTACATTCAATTTTCTCCCTTCTCTTCTTTCTCTATATATAACTACAATCTAAAGTTCTCCATTCTCACCCAGCCATTACCGAATCCTGAATACATCATTATATTATAGCTATTGAAGAAGAATTGTTAGCACAAATGGCGAAGCTGTTATTTCTACAAGCAATTATTCTTTGTCTCCCTCTAATCATCTTGACCGTCTCCGCCACCAAAAAAGACACGCATTTGATGCTATGGGGCTGCTCTGCCAGCTCAGACCGCTCTCTCTGTCTCCACTACCTTAGATCCGACCCGCGAAGCTTTGCCGCTCCGAACTACATTGAGCTCGGCAAAATCATTGCCGGCTTCGCTCTAGCCAAAGCGAACGAAACATTCTCGTCCGTTAAGAAGATGGCGGCGGCCGGAAAGCTGAAAAAGGGTGTCGCCGTCGGCCTGGAGACTTGCCGCGGCCTGTACGGTCAGATCATCGCCGAGCATATCCCCGATGCGATTCGCACTGCCGGAAGGAGTGCGGAGGAGGGTAGCCAGCGTTTGGGCGATGCGATTGAGGCAGAAATGGACTGTGAGAAGGGGTTTGGTAAGAATGGGGTCAAATCGCCGTTGACCAAAAGGAATAATGACTTCAAAGACGTTGTGATTTTAGCCCAAGATCTGTGGTTTCTTGTTTGGGGTTGATCCTTTTTAAAATCTATTTAAAATAATGACTTCAGTCATTATTTTCCGTTTCTGTTTTTAACTAATAGGTAATTTCAAAAAAAAAAACTAATAGGTGATAAATAGCTCTAATTATATTTAGTTACATTTCTATGGAAGAATGTCTCTCTACTGATCTACTCTACCATTATAGTTTGTTAACTAAATTATGAGAAATTTGACAAGATATGAGTAAAAATGTGTTGAAATTCTAAAATATGGCAATCATGTTTTTATTGCCTAGATAGGAGTGATTTTTGTTAACTTAGAAAAATACAATCATATTTAAAGTATGATATGATAATGTAAGAACATGCATTAAATATTCATGTCAAAATTCATAAGAATAATCCCTACTTTTAGAGATTCTACAATAATAATCCTGATTGAGAGTGTCCATAAAAATAATACAAACTAGCAATAGTGTCCACAAGAATAAATTAGGGTGAATTTAAATTAATGTCCATTTAATACTATGAATCTCTACTCACTATTCCCTTTACCGCTCTTCTTATCGAAGTGAATTAAAACTAAAATCCATTTAATCTTAATGTCATTTCCGCCATATGTGGTTCTTTCTAGAATAGAAGATAGAAGCGTTACCCGAAAAGAAGAGTGGTGAAGGGGAAAGTAGAGGTAAATATGGGAGAAATAAATGGGAATTAATTTTAATTTTCCTCAATTTATTCTTAGGGAAACTATTTGTGCTAGTTCGGATTTTTTTATATATGAAGACTCTCAATAGGGATTATTTTAGTAGAATCCCTAAATGTAGACATTATTTTTGTGAATTTCGCCAATATTCATATAAACTACGTGTAGGGTGTGTTTTTAGAAAATAAAGAAAATTAGTTAAAACAAATTAATTAAATAAAATGACTAGACAAAAACAAGAAAGGAGATGAAGCAGAATTAGTCAAAGCTCGTGCTACGCGCGATGTCTTTAAAACGTATTTGTTGCCTCCCACGGTGTTAGGAGCGTTGCAACAATCGTTTCCCAGGATACGATGACTACGAACTAATGTTTGAGCACACAAACCAAAGTTCCAGCGAACGAGGACAAGTTTTAACACTCAGGAATTTTTCAGAGAGACTGGAGGTGTTTTTAATCGTTTCCCGAGGTGTTCTGGTCGAGGCCTTCTGTCCGGAGCACTTCTGCCGCTGGGAAAAAATAAACGTTTCGGGAAGAAAAAATATTAACTGTATCTCTTGATAGATAGGTTTTTGGACGCCATTCATGTCCGCAGGTCGCCCGCGCACGCAAGTCGCGGTTTTTCTTCTGCGATTTCGGGATTTTATTTGCACCCCCCTGCACGCGTGGAGAGAGCCTTTACCCTAAGGAATCATAACTCCTTAAGGGGGGAGTTCCTTGATAAAGGGTTGCAAATCCCTTTGGTTTTCCGGTGTGGGAAATAACACACTAGAAACCCATTCTTTTCCCCAGTTTTTCCATTCTAACGGGTAAACTTCGAAAAGCGATTTCTCATTCACCCGTTATCCGTTTTGAGCGTACCATATATCGAATTGTAGCCCTTCACAAGGACAATCCGAAACCACTTTTACCTGACCCAAATCAGAAGTGGACACCACTCAAAAAACTTCCCCAAAATTACCATTTAATGCAATTTTTCACACATTTTTCCAACACTACGTAAGTAGTAAGACTTGGAAGGCTAGAAATGATAAGACTTGGAAAAACATAAATTCCAATTGGAAGGGAGTCATTGCTTGTGGAGATGTCACGCTAGCGAGATGGAGGGAAGTAAAACAAAAACAACAGGTGGAGGACCCTTCTCGGTCTAATCAACAAATGCAATGGAAGCGACCGGAGCCGGGGTTCATAAAAATTAATATAGACGTTGCAGTTCAAAACGCAAGTGATGGATGAGGCTTGGGTATAGTAGCTCGTGACGAAGGAGGAGTTTTTATAGCAGGTCAAGGCGTGAAAAGAGTGGGGCGATTTTCTCCGGGATTGACGGAAGCTATGGCCATTGAAGAGGCAATGAGATGGGCATTCGAGTCTGGTTGGAGACATTTCATAGTAGAGTCTGATGCCGAGCAGATTGTGCAGCTCATTACCCGAGAGAATGGCCTACAATATAATGATATTATTTTCAGAGAGATTAGACATATGATGGCTGATAAGTCTGTATTTAGACACACATTTGATGCGTGTTGGGATTGGATTTTGATGGTTTTACTAGCTTTAAGGTGTTATAAGTCTCAATTTTAGCTCAATTTATGTTTACCAGGCGTTGGTTCGAGTTTTGTGTCATTTGGAGTCAAAATCAGGATTTTAAAGTTCAGCACCGGCGCTTGAGAAGCAATTGGGATGAGTTGAGATGCATTCGAGAGTGGATTGAGAGATTTGGAGGTCACCGGGAGGTTTACGATGAAGATTTGGTGACAAAAGAGCTCTAGGATTGGCTACAGGATCAAAAGAAGACGAATAGAGCTTGAAAACGGCGATCAGGATGACCTTTCGTACACGTACTCGCATGCCTCACGCACAGAGAATTGTCTGTTCACAGACAATTCTACAGAGTAAAGAAATAAGAAAAAGTAAGGTGGTTGTAGGTACTTTTCTGGCTGTATTCGCTGAAGTTACTGTAGATGACCTTTGTAGCTAAGCTTACATGTAATTTTTTCTTTATTTTATTGATAAAATATATTTTTAAAATAATTTTTTCTTAAATCAGCAGCCAAAATTTTATAAATTTGAGCTGAATCAACTGATTTTCGTGTTACTAAACGGGCTCTAAAACAACAACTTTTCTATTCAAAATTTCAAAGGGAAATTCTATTTACACACCTTCAATTACTAAACACACACCCATTCCCGTAAAAAGTTAAATACTTTTTTTATAATTCCAGTTATACCCTTCAATTGGTCTAGGCCAGTAGGCCCTTCTGCCGTTCTACACTTCTACGCATGAAATTAAATTGGGGCAGAGTGAACGGTTCTCCTTCTTCCCATGAAATTGTTGGAGCCAGGATTCTCCAATCAACAAGATCGGTGGCACAGAAGTTGTGGATCAGTGGATCACTCGTTTGGGAGGGTAAACAAATTTGCTCCTTCCCGAGTTCATAAGCATTACGGCTCTGCACCTTCATTACTTCCGCCGGCGTCACCGCTCACCTCCACACTAACCGGCGGATCCGCTACCAACCTCTCTATCCATTGAATATTGTGACGACCCAGCACCGCTGCCCGCCCCCATACCTTTTAGTAGTATCTCACAGCTTCTCTCTGCTTCTCCCCGACGACAACCTTACCTTCAAGTTCAGCCCACATACTCCTTTTCTTGGCAGGCACCCCAAACATCTCTTTAGATCATCTTATTTCGCGATAAAGCGGCGTAGAGCTCCGGCAACACCCACGAGGTGAAGAATGGGGAAAGTCAGTCATTCTTTCTTCCCCGGGAATGATAGATCTTTTCTTTCCTTGTTGGCTCGAAGTAATACATGGATGCTACGGAGTAATGGGTTGGCTTAAGGGTAAAATGGATAATTGAAATAATTTTATTTATTTAAATTTAATTAGGTGGCTGTGATTAGTAAATTGGTGGTTGTAAATAGAATTACCCAATTTCAAATGTGTGCCAATTGACTTTCAAAACTTACAATCAACCAGATAAAAAACATAATTGAGTATAGCAATGTATTAAACGCAGGTATTTATAGTAGAGAGTAGGCCTGTACAAAACCGGGCCAGCCCGCCCGGCCCGCCCAGCCCGCCTGCACAAATAGGCGGGCTTGGGCATATATATGTACCCACCGGGCCAGGCCTGACCCGGCCCGCATTAACATATGGGCGGGCTTGGGTTAGGATGTAGGCCCGTTCGGGCTGATAAGCCCGGCACGCTACATTTAGTATATATACATTTTTTAATATATATATACTAATTTATTTATTTATTTACATGTACACATGTATATTTATATTTATTAATTTATCTTTATACATATTTATAGTTAATTATATTTAAATTTAACATAGTCAACATATGCTCAACACCACTGGACCAACTCATTTTCTTAAGTTTTTAGTTCTTAACAACTAGCCGAGCCAAGATAATATCAAATTTGTACTTAAAGATGATACTTTGTGCTTGAATTTTTAAATTTTAGCTATAGTTTCTCATTATATTCTTTGTGCAAGTATCTTTATACATATTTATAGTTAATTATGTTTAAATTTAAGTTTTTAGTTTTTAACAACTAGTCCAACCAATATAATATACGTAGTATGTAGTATATTTTAGTACTTAAAGATAATACTTTGTGCTTGAGTTTTAAATTTTAGATATAGTTTCTCATTATATTTTTTGTGTACGTGGTGAGTGGTGACAAGCCTAAAAAACATTATAAGCGTATTAGCATTTTTTTAAATGTTGTAATGCCATTTATAAAGTATTAAAAAAATTATATAATTATTAAAAATTAAAGTTTTCCCGGGCCGGGCGGCCCGGTGGACTACCTGGCCCGCTCTAACGGGCGGGTATGGACATGGGGTTAGACCCGTTTTTGCGGGCCGGGCCGGGCCCGCCCACACATGATGGGCAGAAAATTTATAAAAAGCCCGGCCCGAGCCTGGCCTGAACCCGTGTTTGTACAGGTCTAGTAGAGAGGGGGTGGGTGAGATGGACACGTGGCCGAACCCGGTAGGCTGCTGCCTCTGCCACCTCGCACCCATGCCTTTACTTGTTATTGCCATATCGCAGCATTAAATGCGGCTTCCACTTGCCGACTAGCCGTCCGGGTAGCGCGTTCGGTGTGCGGGCCCCCTTTGTGGGTGTTTGGATGCCAGTACTCTGTCGATTATCTCAAGTGAAGAAATAGACCCGAATGTTGTTCAGGTACTTACCCGTTCGGGATATCTTTGAACTATTCTAACTGCTTTGGGCGCCTGACTTCCCCTGGGCCTCTCCATGATTTGGACCGGGCGTATTAGGCTTGGGCCTAATACCCCAACAACTACTATTCCTCAACTTAATGATCAAGTCAGTTTTTTGACTAGATGTTTAAGTCATGTTTCCAATTAAGTCATAAGTAAACATGACTTAATGGATGTATGATAGATTAAGTCATCATTATCATTAAGACCATAAAGTTGAAAGTAAACAGTCTCTTACATAGGCTGCAAATAAAACATCATTTTCTATAAACAAGTAATTCTTGGGTGGTTGTACCATTGGATTGATTTTAC